AATTCATATTACTAGAATACATTGGTATCGAAGGAACTAGATTCTGTTCCGAAATATCCCTTACTCGAACCGTCTTGACCGCGTAGCTCAGTTGGAAGAGCATTGGGCTAGTATTCCAAAGGTCGTAGGTTCGAATCCCACCGTGGCCGGGCATATTTTTCAAGCTCGCCCGGTGTGGATATACACTCAGAGTAACACCACAAATATCATATTCACCTGAGTACACTACACCAATACAGAAAAAAAAAAAGATTTTATTATATAAACATAAGTGTTATATAGAGTTTTTGGCCACTGAGAAAAATCGTATTTAAATACACGCAAAAAATACGATATTTTTACGTGTGAAAATATCATTTGTTGTAAAACGCATTGCCACGGACGTTTTATTGTTTTTCACTGAATTTTGTTTATATAATAAACAGAAAAATACATGCATGCTTGGAAATACCAGATTTATTTCTCGTGTTGAACATGATATCTCACTCGTTCGCTGCGCTCACTCGTGAGATATCATGTTCAACACTCGAAATAAATTTGGTATTTCCGCGCACCCATGTATTATTCTCTATATAATCGTTTATGATGTATTTGTACAAGAGATTATGGTTTTATCTATAGAGTATTGTTATCTACACTGCATGTGAACCGGTTATTTCATTGCTATTGTCCCCGAGCCGGCGGCGCGAAGCGCCGTGCGAGGGTACTAATTCCGCACGGCTAATCATACCCGGGTATGTGAAAACATAGCGGAGTGCAAAGTTGTCCTCCATTTTGTTTATGTCATGGATGGTTTTCGACGTTATGCGCATGCGCGAGTACAAACTCTGTCGAACTATCGAAGTAATTGTTTTTCGTTTTGAAAGGACGTATTTTGCTGTTTTACAGAAATTTTTTGTTTTAAATTTCGTTAAAAAATTTACAAAAGTACAACACGGTATTTTTCTCGATTTCAACTGGAAATAATCCTGCAGTTTCATGAATTATTGGCTGTTCAATCGTGAAACAAAGTTTGTATAATAATTGTTTTGATGTCTTGATCGAGGTTTTGATAGTCTATGTCTTTGATAATTTAATCATTGTTGTGCCGGTTTGGGTAAGTGTAAACAGTTCAGTGGTAAAATTCCATGCCGTACTTGCTCTGTGTTGTCGGTTTTATTCATATCTGCGAAATTTTTAAGCCATTCTTAACTCGATAATTCACTTTAATGCAAGCAGGTATGCCGTATGCATGAAATTGCAGTGAATGTAATCGTTCCTTATAACGCTAGCGCATCAGTTATGTTTTTATGTTTGTTTATAATGGTCTTAATACTTGTATATGTGGAACTTTTATACTTCATCTGTTTAGAAAGGCGAGGGGTCGCTGCATGCATGTATTTTCTAGTAAGTATTCAGTGATCGTGTTAGGCTTTAAAAACAGGAATTACCCCCTGATCCATGCAGGATATAAAAATTCAGTATTGCTCGAAATCCCGAATCCCGATCACGGTCCTGTAAAATGCTCCCTCCTCTTCTCATATAAACAAATGTAGTTAAGGAATCAACCATAGCTATGACCATACAGCATACTGTAGGTGTCAAGCACTATCGCAAAGCTCATGCATCAACCGACCACAAGTTCGAGCCTGTAGCCAATCAGCACATTGATCAGATTAGGTCAAAGCCAGGTCAAAATTGCTGTGTAAGTACTGTCATAATGCAGGTTCTCAAATGGTTGTTGATAAAGGGGATAGACGAGATGGAGGTCTTGAAGACAATAACCAGGAACTATATAATTATATAACCTTATCTTAAACCATAAAAGCGAATTCTGAGCATGGTCAACAGAATAAGCGACCTCGTACCCAGGGTCTTTCCTATTGGGGAGGAAAGACCCTGGCAGATGCTGGTCATGTGATCTACTAAAATCTAGCAGATTTTTAATTGGCAATCCAAGATGAGGTCAATAAATATTTGATATTTGAATGATTTTTATAGTTTAATTTATAATTTGCATTTTGTATGATTGTTGTAAAGGAATCCAAGATAGTTAATTAGAAATCTGCTAGATTTTAGCAGATCACGTGACCAGAGGAAAGACCCTGGGTACGAGGTTGCAGAATAAGGTAAGAGATGCAGACATAATAGGACTCATATCATCGATGCTTTTATCTTGGTTTATGGAAAAAAATGGTCGGTTCATCGTCAAATGTGTGTTGTATTTTCGCTTGAGCAGCCAATAGCTATGTTTTCATTTAACCATTGTGTAGTATCATGACTGGGTAATTAAACGAACACACTGCTATTGGTTGGTTGGGTGAGAAAACAATACACACGCGACGATGAACGTCATGAACCGACCATTTCTTGCATAAACCAATAAAAACAAAAACAGATAATTATTAATGAGGTCTGTTATCCGAGTTTCCCAGCTTTCTTATTCTAGGGACTATTTTTTGAGTTAAAAAAATGTTGAACTACAGTATCCTGAAAACACCTCCCTTTCACAGAGTAGAGACATACAGAGACGTAACTGACCGTCGTAAACACTGCTGAAGATTACGTTATCATGTACCCACTATTTTCCGGGCGAAAGATGATCAAATGCGCGTGCTCAGCAAGTTTAAAGTGAGTCGTTATCAGGTCGTCATCCAATCAGATGCATGCATCTAGTAACTTGCCGAGCATGCGCACAAAAAAGTGGGTACACTAGTTACGTCTCTGTATGTCTCTGTACTCGTGTCCCTTTCGTATGACCTGCATCATGTCTTGTGATAATCATGTAAACGATAATTCGACATAAACGACATCGTTTCCTCCCACATTTCGCCAAAGTGGCGAATATTGAACCGCGTGAGAAATGCTAATTTCTAATATTTAAATAACTCTCGGTTAGTCAAAGTGAGTCCGTGAAAAAACAACTGGCATACACACGGTGAACAATTAAAACAATTCATATCAAATATCTTTTATTTTTCGTCCAACATAATTTAGATTTTTTATAACTTTGAAGTAATTATATACAACCATTCTACTCATAAATAATTTGTCTAGTTTACAACCCCGATAAATGTTCTACGATCGATCAATGTTATCTGCATATAGTGTTTTTTACATGCGTTTCTATGAATATCTAGATTATAATTCCACAAACTACCCCATAACAAAATGTACACTATTTAGAGCTGCGCCCATCGGCTTATGTTCGTTATCCCTTAATCATTGTCAACAATCAATAATTGATTATAATCGTATTTACTAAATAAATCAAGATAGGATGTTTGATTTGATTGATCACGGACAATGCAAACTTTTTAGATATCAGTTCGATTTTGAGCACTGATCTATCAACTCGGATTGGATGGAGAATCCTTTTGATATTGTGGTGGAAACGGAATAATGTGTGTGAATAGTAAATATCAGAAGGCGTATTTAGTTGCAATTGCTGCAGCTGCTCCTGGTTAAGTAAAAATAAATGAAAAAAATTACACTCAAAATTTCCATCTACAAAACATTATTAGTTGTTCAATCAAGTGAGATGTCAAAAAATATCATGACATTTACCCATATAGACCGAAGAATAATGATTAGTTTGTGTTTGAAAAATCCGGAATAATGAATAAACGGAATTATGGTGGAAAGGAATAAAGAATACTATAATATAGCATTTGTAAATTCTGAACGCTGATTGGCTATTAAGAGCCGTGTTGATATAACTCAATGTCAACACGGGAAATTTTCCGCCGCTTGTAAACACGGACATTTTTCTTATCCTTCGGGCGTTTGACATTGCTATATTATAAAAAAAATATAAAACATTTTTTCCGTATCGATATATAGTTATATCAACACTCGTGGAAGTTGGGAAAACTCGAAATTGTATGAAAACACTCCGCCCTTCGGGCGTCGGGTTTCCATACAATTTCTCGTTTTCCCAATTCCACTCGTGTTGATATAACTGTATATCAACACGGAAAATGTTTTCTATTTGTTAAATGAAAACTAAAAATTGAACTGAATAATTCGAGAAATATAACAAATAGTGGATAATTTGTAAATATTTAAAATAAATAGTAAGAGTAATCGATGCACAACTATTCCGCTTCCACCTCCACCTGAAGTTTGCTAGCTGTGAATTAATCCCAGATGAAACGAGGATGAGATTATATACATGATACGTGACCGTGACCTTGGTCAGTTGTTCTTAATGCTTTCCCAACACTATCATGTATTTTACTTAAGTTGAAACCTAGTTGGAACACTTATCGGCAAACCTTTATTTTGTTAATCTAGAGTTTGAAATGTCCCCTGTAACAACTCGTGACTGGCCAACTCTCATCCTCATTTGAGCAGGGCTTTAAACTGTAAATTTCATACTTTTATTCCGTTGTTGATAAATCGATTACTCTACAAACAATCGATTGCCTAAGACATGACCATGACGATGAACCGTGAGCGGCTCTGAAGTTATTATCTAGTGATTTTCAAACGTGACTGCACATCTGTATACTGATAATGAGATATCATTTCTGTAAAGTCTACTTTGACTGGAACAGTGATAGTTCTACCAGAGGAACACTAATTTCCTGTCTGTACATTTCCTGTGACGTCACGCACTGCTCACAATTTGGGCGAGAAAATGACTCCTTGACTCTAGACATGGACTGTTTCCTAGCCAAGACGTGAGGGCATTGCCTTTCGTATCAAGCGAGACCAGCCATCTTTCGCTGGAGTACCGACACGATCGATATATCGAAAAGAAATTTTCAATGACAGCTTCTTCGAAAACACATTCCTCACTGTCTACATCCTATGAATAAAAAGAGAAAAATAAGATTAGTTGGAAAATATAAATAAATGTATGCCCCTACGTAGCTTTACAGTCGTGCCAATAGAAGCGTTCCGAAAAATGTCGACCAATTCATTTCCTAACTTGAAGAAACACCTCTGAACAATTCCTCAACAATTTGATAAGTTCCTTAAAAAGTTCCTAACTTCCAATCAAATTTTATATTTTATTTTTGAGCAATCTGATTGGTCAATGAAACAAGAAGTTAGGAACTTTTTAAGGAACTTATTAAATTGTTGAGGAATTGTTCAGAAGTGTTCCTTCTGGTTAGGAAATGAATTGGTCAACATTTTTCGGAACGCTTCTATTGGCACGACTGTAACGGACGTTAAAAACCCTAATCAAACCAGAATGAGGGTGCATTATATGAGAGTTGGCAATAACACAACCTTGTTCCTAACGCTTTTGGCTTTCCCAACTCTTTCATCAAACGTTAATAGCTTAATAAAAGCAAGAGTTGAAAAAAACTGCTAACATTTCGTGACTGTCTGCAACTCTCATCAACCCTCATTCTCACGTTTGACCGGGGCTTGAGCTTGTTCTCAAATTCCATCATCGCACAAAACTCTAAGCAATTTACTAATACTGTATTAGTGGATAGAAAGAAAGAGAAATACATGTATGATTTGTCGATAATGTATATTTTATGGGTATATGTGCAGGCTTCAAGCCAGTACGAAGCAGGTACGAGATTACGCCCTTATCACGCGCTGTGGGCGTGGCTACAGCGCGTTGGTCGAAGATTAAATTGCATTATGAAAGAGAGGTTTCATAGCAAGGGTATTAAACAACACTGGCTTCCAGACGCTTCGCTCGAAACATCAAAAATCTTTTTTATATATTTTTCAGGTACATGTAGTTGTATCATCTACTGACTCCAAGTTCGCATTTCACATTTGGGATAGTAAACATCATGAATGAACACAACACGTTACTATATAATTTAGAAGCGTTATTAGGCTGTCCAGACTACCATAACGACGATAACAAAGTTAAGTATAGATTTCAAAACTAATATTGCATGTCTGCGGTATTGTAGTGATCCTATATTGACAACAACTATGTTCGTCTAGAATTTGTGTTAATAATGCAGACAGGAAAGTGTGGATTTTATCACGAGGCTATTTCAAGATTCTCTTAGAAACCATTTTGCCGTCTACGGAAGTGTAGGAGGAATACTAGACATGAAAATTATCTCATGTTCACGAAGTTAACATATAAAAATAACAACATTGTTGTGCCGGTATTACAGTGATAATATATCGACAATTATGTGCGTCTAGAATTTGTTAGAACTAGTGCCGACACATGGGAAATTGTGGGTTCAAGGAAATGTTTTGCATTCTATAGAAGTGTGGGAGGAATACTAGACATGATAATTATCTCATGATTTTAACATCAAATAGCCATGACCCCCCTTTAGTTTAGGTGCCGGCAAAACTTTCCAAACATCTCGCGAAAATTTATCTGATGAGTATATATTAGTATGAGATTTATTATATACGAAAAGATATTTTCTCCATAAAATTAGGTGGCAGAAATATTAATCACTGTACGACTCGATAATAAAATGTCTTGGGGGGTATTTTAATTTTTTCAATGCAATTAAATTGGGAGGTTATCATCATTATGATTTACAAACAAAATTATCATTGCATATGAACCAGAGCCAAGGCCATGAGTAAAATGGAAACCCCCCACAGCAAATTAAATAATTAAATGAAATGACGCAATTCGCTGCAGGTTGTCCCGGAATACCCCACATTCCAAACATTTTGAATAAATATTTTCTAAACTGCTTAATTTTAATACTATTATAACACGGAGATTGAAAAAAAGGGAGGTAATTTGCTGCGGGAGTTTAGAAAAGAGACTTTGGATAGAATGTGCTGATGCCAATATCAGCACATTCTATCCATATAGCCATAGGCCTGCAAAGACGTTGACAGACATCTTAAAAATACTAATCATTACATTCAATATATGGGTTTCCTTTCTTGTAATCAATTTTAAAAGTTTAAAAGTTGGAAAATTTAAAAAAAAATTAATTTAAAATTTCCTATTTTGGCCACCATCTTGAATAATTTTGAAAAGTCTTGTATGACGGCCAAAATAGAAAATTTGAGCCGAACAAGGAACACGAGAGCCAAATTTTATCATTTATTAATTATTATGATTTCATTATATAAAGTATAGTGCTTTATAGAGATTTCGAGCACTGATAAAAGTGATAATCTCACATGTGAGATTATTCATGATAATCTCACATGTGAAAATTATCGCTTTTCTGTGAAAATTATCGCTTTTCAAAGACTGTCCTTTATATAATAAACAGAAAAATACATGGGTACTTGGAAATACCAGATTTATTTCTCGCGTTGAACATGATATTTCACTCGTTCGCTGCGCTCACTCGTGAGATATCATGTTCAACACTCGAAATAAATCTGGTATTTCCGCGCACCATGTATTATTCTCTATATAAAAAGCACAACTTTACTAAGTAAAACACAGGGAAACAAGAAAGAAATATAAGAAAAATTCATGAACTTTAATCAAAGTATCGAGAAAATGGGGGATATTAACACGAGTACAGAAGACCGGAATTGTGATTGCACAAAATTTTTGTGATTGCACAAAAAACGGAAGGGGTGGAATCTCTGTTATCAATCTAAAGAGAATGATACCCATTTGAAACATTTCAAACTTTATTTTATGTTACAAAAGCTCTTCAAAAGCTGTAGAAAATATAAATAAAATGCTTAAAATCCAAACGAACAGAATTTATGATTTACGATGGCCGAATGCTGATGCTTTCTAAACCTAAAAGTATATGCTACGAAGAGACATACTACACACATTGCCATGATTATTGGAATCGAAATTGGCAGGTGCAATCCAGGTGCAATATAATTATAACTACGGTGCACCGTGCAACAGTATAGCACCGCCTAATAAGGGCTTGTGGATTGCAAGACATAATCGTGTTGTTTGTCAGAAAAAAAATATGAAATTTTGAACTATTTACTATTAAAACAAAGCACTAGAAAGGAAGGGAATTACTTACGGTAGCGCGAACCACGCCACTGTCATCTATCGTTACAAATAACTCTGCTTCCACTCCTAACATTTTAACCAGACCAGCACCCACAGAAATAATTTCCAACGTCGCTAAAGGAGAAAAACAGAGAACTTGATGTTACAGTTAACCCTAGTTGTATAAATACTAAGCACTAACCCAACCCTATATAGAACCCAGCCCCTAAGCACTAACCCAACCCTATGTGTCATCGTTGAGGAATTGGACGATTGGGGCATTGGACGATGGTTCCTGGATGGAATGTGAGCAATATGATTGGCAGTTACACCAATCCACTGGAGACTCCCCTGTGAGACCCTCGTGCAATATTATCGAGGTTCAGATTTGACTTCTTATTGCTACCGCTGCCATTAAGGGATCATTAACCAATGAGACGCATTTGATACAGGTACATCCGATTAAGTCAAATCCAAACATCTTTATTACAGAGTTTGGGATTATAGTTTAATAAGGGGAAACGGATGGGATCTTAGAAAGGCCAGAAGAAACATATTCCATATAAAATCTAAATGACAACATGTTAGTCAAAGGATATTGTGTTGAATTTTTACTTCAATCACAATGTCAATCACAATGAAATCAAATAGAAGCAAACAAAAAGTAATTAACCTTTGCCATTGCGTGCATGCAGCTGAAGCTAAAGAGGTAAAGTGTTGTAGACGCAACCCTCAAGTTAACTGACAAAAGCGGAATTCCGGATCTGTATTCCATATAAAGTCTATATGAACACTTTTCATAATCGAAGACTTGTCACGATCTTTTTCACGATCTTTTTCACGATCTTTTTCAATCCCCTTGAAAACGTCGGTGGTGTAAAAAATACTAAATAATCCAGGCCTTGATTGAAACTGAAAGGTAATGTAGATACCATATGCTTTCTACCCTCCAAGAAGAATTTACATTCCGAATTTTTAGATCGATCCACTTTAAAGATACAATTTTGGCAAAATAAACATAATCCGAAGACTTAATTAATATTTTTTACAAAATTCCTGTTTATCATTCGTGACTCGACATGCAAAATCATAATTCAGGAAAAGGCCCGATTCTAACCGGAGTGTATATAGGTGGGCGTGACTCAAAGCGCATTATCTAAGCATTTGGCAGAATTAGAGAATTATTAAGGAGAAGCTATAAACGACACAAAGAGCGGCTGTGTAGAGACTATAAGAGACAAAGAGACAAATTTATTTTAGTATTTTTAAAAGTTTTAATATAAATGAACAAACAAGGAAATGTGTAACTCTGGTGATTCTCTCGTGACCAACACGGTTATATATACTGTAGTCTTATTTTTAATCACGAGGCCATGACTCGCATCCATGGTAATGTATTCTATTCAAATATGCCCTGTTTCTAAGCTTAAATGTTTGAGAACAGCATCAGTACACACCAACCAATCTTAATCAATTATATTACTGGGGCCAGTCAGTACGAATTCAAAGCAGGATACATGAAAAACTATGAAACTATGGATTTAGACATCGCGACTTATAAAAAGAATTTTTAACTTATAAATGCTTGCGTTTAATATTGGTCAGACCACTTAACGTTCAATTTTAGAAAGGTTGAAAAAAAATCACCATCCGGCAGATATAGCGCTATCCGGCTATAACCAGTCTCTGAATCACGGAGATAACCAGTGCCAGTGGAATTATTTTGAATCAAATTTTACTAATTTCATTTGAATAAAATATCTGTCCATTTTATATTGTTAGGATCATGGTTCAGCTAGGATGCCACGAAAACGATCAATTAGAACTGACGTGAAGTATTTTCGTACCGTGAAGTGGAGTAATCACGGCGAATGTTTTGTGGCAAAAATTATAAAATACAAATTCTAGTCTGTCGCGAATTATCAAAATGAAGGAAAACTATTTAAAACTCTTAAACTGCGGATGGGGTCGTACACGACCCCAAAACAACACTCTTGTATTTTTTCCGTTTTCTTCAGGTAGTTGCTGGTAGATTAGGCTTCGAGAACTGCAATGCATTACATTTACTGGGATAGCAATGGCGATTCACAAAAATACAATACATAGATGGGTTTGACTAAGATTTTGTGTGATATCTTGCCTTTTATTGTTGAAAGTCACGTAATTTTCGATAGGGTGTAATGACTAATGTCAATGGTCAAGATAAGTGTGTCTGGATAAGGTATAATGGTCTGGATAAGGGACTCGAAAATCGACACAAAAAAGCGCCACACGTATTTTGTGTATGACCGCTTGTACAATATAAAAACAATAGTACACAATGCAGGAAGTAAATCTCGCGAGCCTCACTAATGCTGGCCCATGCAAAATCCATTCCACATACTTCGTTCATTCCTGAACGACTAGCATCTAGATTCCTGCCGATAGTCATTCCACAAAAATTTAGCCTTATTATTGAATTTGAACTTTGGAAGTAATTGCCATTGGAAGTAAAATTTCTATCACAAAGACTTTTGTTTCGCCCCTCTTAATGACAATAACATCCGCTAAATTTACTTAGTAACGTCATTATCGTTTTCAAGAGGAAACTGAAAGAAATTTGTGAGTCTCGCTTTTACTTAGTTATAAATTAAATGTGTAGACTAAAGACTAGAGAGTGACGAAGTTCCGTTAATTAATAAACAATACTTTTTTACTTTAATACTTTAATCACTTTAATCTTCGTTCATAATCTTAATAATACCCTAAATACTGGCACTGCATTTAATCAAAACTATTAGACAGTATTTTAAACTTAAACTATTATGCAGAATCTTAGGACCCTATATCATTCGACCCTTATCATTCACTACCATCTGCAGCACTATAATATATTCCATCACGAAAGCATTCCCTTTCCACTCGTGACCAACATTGTTATGTATAAATACTGTATAATATTTCCATATCACGAGTCGAATATAAGAATTTCTCCATACAACAGGTTCATCATGAGATTGACAAGTCCAGATCAGTTTTAGATTCTTTGAATAATTTTATAATTTAAGTGAACACAATCTCTGTATGCTAATGCTTTTCTCGCTTGGAATGATGTTCAACAAGTATAGTCAGTATTGAGAATATTAGCTTCAAAATGAACAGAACTCAGAAGAACTTTGTTTTCCCATCGGTCATTCATGATTTCGCTCTCATGGAGTTGATTAGAAATTAGTGAAATAAGAGTTCATGTATACTAGTTATACCAATTTCCACACTTTTCCACATTTCGGTATACTAAACTCTGTATATATTATTAATATAGGAAATTGGAATCCACCTCTGCTGAAACGGAGAAAAGCACCTCGCTTCTCCTATTACCTATTATATCCTATTATGTATAATGTAATAAAATATTATTTAAGAAATAATATTGTATTATGTTCTATAATGTTATTTAATAATACAAAATGACAAGGTTCTGCCCTGACCCGTATAATTTCATGCTTAGGAAATTAAGGGTATATACATAGTTATTAATTTCCACATGCCTTTCAAAATGTTGATATATTTTTTGTATAAAATAAAAAGCTTCGAAAATGAACATTTTTAAGTAATATTCCAGCTTTCGACTATATTTAGTCATCATCGGGATTCGGGATGGATTTTAAAATACTAAGCGGTTCCCTTAATTTTTCTTATGAACTACTGTATAATAAATGGTACATAATATTTTTAACAGTGCGTATTTTTTCATCAAGTGCACGCGAGGCTTATCATGTTAAATCGCTCTGTCAGAGTTTAAGTTATTAGTATGTTATGTTCTTACGCAATTCGAGTAAGCAAAGACGTCAAAGTCTTTGTTAACAGTGATTTGCCTTGCACACAGTTCCACTTGCGGTGTAAATGTCACTAAAACTATTTGGACCCAGCCCAAAAGCACGTCACACGCGCATACAAAGTCATAACAACCACCTACGGGGTAATCAGACCACATTGTTTAGCCCACGCATTTCAGGATGTCTCCTGCAGCCTGTTAAAAGTTATTCGAAATTAGTAATCTAAAACCATCATAATTTTCCGCCTACTGGCCTGAAAATGTTCAAAGTTCTCACTTTTAAGTTTTCGACGTTCCGAAGAAGACCCTTGGTCAGGAAAATTAGACAAAGGTCAAAAATCTTCTAAACCTCCCCAGTGACACAGGGACTCCCCTGACGAAACAGAATACTTGAACTTCCTCGAGAAAGATCCTTTGTTCGAAGCATGGAAGTGTTTTTCCGGCTGACTTTATATCTATGTCATGGCACACACTCAAGTCCAGAACTGAAGATTTATTTGAAAAACTTCAGCCTTCTAATTAATATAATATAAAAATAAATATATTATGTTTTATCAACATGAATACCAGTTTCGGTATAGTCTACAGATACATGCTACACGGTGCAATTTTTCTTGCAACTTGCAATGCAATTCTACTCTTGAAAGATATTTATTAGTGAAATCAGTGAAGAATTTTCGATATGTTGAGAAAACATTATCGGAGTGTAATGAAGACTCGTATTTGGCAATTTTACATCTCTCAAGAGTAGAATTGCATTGCATGTTGCAAGAAAAATTGCAACATGCAATATATAAAATATATGTATTAACATGTATTTATAAAATTAACTCTAAAATTGGTGAGTTTTGTATTGCTGCAGGACATTAAAAAATGTCGTTCGTCCCCATTTAGATCACACTGTATGAAACGTTGTTGTATCGATTTAATCATTAATTTAAATTAACCAGCATTGTAATATAAATTTCTCTAAACGTATTCCGGCATGAGTTGAGCTAGCCAATGATCCCTTTTCTAGTCAACAACAACACGGGCATGGATTAAGGACATATTGAATGCGCGAGCTTAAGTCCTAGTTTCAAGTGCCAAAAACAGTGTTAGAATTTTTCCCTGTAACTTGAGCCGGGCAATAAATGACAGTTTTAACACAGCTTAGTTCAAAAAGAGAGCTCGTGTCAAAATATCGAAGTGATACGTCCCGGCATGTACCCTTTTGAAACGAAAGCAAAAATAACATCAAATATTTTCAAATATAGGACCCACTGTTCCAATTAAATCCTATAGTGATCCTTACTGTCTCAATTACAGTCCACAGTGGTCTTCCGGCGAATAAACGGCATACTTTATCTGGTAATGTTCTCAGCGATATGTCGGTGCTTGGTGGAATGAAATTGCGGAAATAATTGTGGTGTATAAGATTTCGGAAACCGCATTCGCATACTGACAAGGAACAAGATACTCAAAAATGTTAACAATCTCTCGATGTGATATCGTTACTTGCTGCGTGCACGGATATTGAGCTTCAAACGCATGATTTCAAGTAAACATTGCAACAACGCCGGGAAAACATACATGCTAAGGAAAGTGCATTTAAACTTTAATAGGTGGTATTAGGTGGCATTGTTAATGGCATAGTAACATAGTAATGTGAAATGACACCTTTGTAGATCAATTCTCGCATCTAAACTTGAGTCAGCAATTCACTGATTAAGTTCTATCGTTGATCGACCCCCCTTTGATATTTTAAACGATCACAAATGTAAACATAGTAGAAAAACATAATGGCCATATAGTAAATAGTTTATTTTAATTAAAACTCCCGAGGATCAACATAAACGTATAGATATAGTTTGGCCGGCTTACCCTGAAAGTGTGATAGGAACGCCGAACACTCCTAGTAGAGTGCCCACACTGCGGATTATAACCGCAGAATTTAGTATGATTATCACCAATGCATGTGATAATATATACAATGGCATGCAGTAATCTTAAACCAGACACAATGGTCTCTATATGGGAGAGACTCAGCGATGATACAGCTATCGCAATAATTGTGTATATCAAAACATTGTTATCAGCAATCGTTATGTACTTACTGTATGGATCGCTCTTACAGCGCGTGCCTTTGACTGTACCATTTGGATGGACTGCTAAATAGTAACCGTTTCGACAAACCAATCTCCTTCGTCTACTGCTCCTCTTTCCCATAAAGCTCTTACACCAGTCTGGATCGGGTAGAAGTTGCGCGGATATCGTTGAGAAACGAATGTTCTTTTGAATTTCTGCTTTCTCTGATAATGTATCTACTTCTTCTATCTTAATCTCGAAGTCGTCTGGATCATAGTAATACGTAATTGAATAAGCCATTCTTTGTGGAATTCTGAAATCAAAAGTTACAAATTAGAAACCAATTGGAACAAAACGTAGTGTTCAAAGTTAATAAGTTGCCATAACCGTCCCCTATTACCGCACCTCTTAAAGCGTTGTGATTGCGATGTGGTGATGATACGAACGTTCAAGCTCCGATGTTACTTGTGTTGAATCACGCGGTTTAATAAAGTGACCGGTATACAATGACCTTTATATACGAACCCCTGGAGACCAACCGATGATTATGCCAAATCCGCTCTGAGGCTATATTTATCCAATCAGTCACCACAATAGATGCCAGCACACTGTCACAGTGCTGGAGGGCCTCAAGGTCACTTATTGTCTTCAATGTGTAATACAAATGTGTGAATATAACTCGAAATATTCTTTGATGTTTTTCGACGCACTTCGAATGTCAAAAACTAGCGATGCAGAACATGAAAAATATACTATTTAAATTTCAAAGTCAAGCGAAAAGGAATTTGTTTGAATAGAGACTTATCAGTACCATATATCTGTTTGGAATAAAAGTATAAAACTTCCTGAAACTGATACGATTTAAGAATGATTATCCTAGATTTTCTATAGATCGCACAGTGGTAACGTGTGACGTTAGGTTTGTTTATTATACAAACATAGATTTTTTAAGGTAAAGGGGAACTTAGGAGTTAAGAGGAACTTGTATTGGCATGGCAACAAATTAGAGACAATGCGGCAATCTTGTGATACAATAATATACGCCTAGATATTGAAATGCCTTGCCCTTGGCTTCACCATGCGTTTCTGCTGTATATTTGTAATTACCCTAACGTATCGTAACACTCCTAGCACAAAAAATAAGGTTATTTTAATAGCACAAATAATTACAAGGCACACTTTTGCAAAGCTGTAATTTAATTTTCATAAATTAGCAGTTCAGTATTGATTGGACGCCGGAGTCTTCGTCCGATATTTGTCTATTAAAGACAATGAAATGTGTGGCTAAGGACAAGACAGTACCAATACTCGTAACACCTGGGGTTCGCATCAAAATAATTAACAGCGTAAATAGACTAAAACAATTGTCAGAGACAACGGACACCACAAGACTGGCCCGTAGTGAAAATAGGTATACTAGTATCACTCACTTTGGCCTATACTTGGGCATCACAAGAACTTGTGGTTAGAGCTCGACAACTGGACTCCGTAGCTCAGTTGGTTAGAACCGCTGCACCGGAATCGCAGGGCCGCAGGTTCGATTCCTGCCTGGTTAGGGCCGTTCATTATTTATTCCTGGGGTTGGTATCGAAGAGAAGCGAAAAACGCTGTAAATTTTTTATCAGTTTACCCAACCTCAACATTGGTCAAAATAATGTTTACCCAACCCATGTGTTACTATACTTAACAATAATTAAACACACAAGATTATGGTGACCTTGATTTAATACCCAACCCATACCTCTTCGGTACCAACTCCGGGTATAAATAATGAACGGTCCCTTGGCTTAGATCTGAGAATTGTATATAACGTTCTGCTCGAAATTCAGTTCCATCTACAAAAACCCTTCAACTGATAATATACTAGACAAAAACTCTGCAATAATGAGAATGGATTGTCAATGCCTGAAATATAATAGCGGAGAGGTTCGGAATTTGACTTCCATTTAATTAACCAATCGAGATACATAGTAACCTACCCGATTAATCAGACAAATCAGTCAGATGCGTATCAAACCTAGGAGAGGTATATATAGCGGTAGGGGAAATCAATAATACTAGTAATACAGTATAGAGCCCCATGCAGCTAAATAAAATTCGTATCAGTGGGTTATTGGATTTGGCCTGACCACGTCAAAACTGATTGAGATTTGGTTATCTCGAACCTCCGCAATCTCGAATTTTTTTCTGTTTCCCTTATTAAATTAATGGCTGTTCGAGATAGTGGGATTCTACTAGTGTATATATATTCAGTTGAGGCGCACATTAACTTTTTTCTATCTGCTTTCAGTACTGTTCTTACTGACAAACTACACCAAATTGGCAAATACCAAATGGTGTAAAATATTTATTTCCATTATTCGGACTGTATGTCAAATGGAAAAAGATGTAGTGACAAACTGCAAGGAGTTGTGTTTAAAATAAGATATATTTGAGCAAACCAAAATGTGAAAACAAAATTTAAATATTCACTGCAAACCATTACATTAATCATATATATTTACCGAAATACTATAGGTTTTAAACTAGTTTGAACTGATATACAGTATATATATTTCTGATAAAAATATGAAACGTTCTGATAAGAATATTAGTGAAAGAAAATATGATTATTTCAGGAATACTGAAAGTAGGAATATTGCATACATAATGTTAGGTAGGAATCAATATTGAATATTAACTTCAATATTCCGCTTCCCAACTCATTATCTTCCCAACCGATAATCCTTGATAATTGATGTTGAACATCATACATGCACTCTCTCGAAAAGCTGGGGAAAAAACTCAGACTCGGCTTTCCGATTGAACTGTAGAATACGTTTTAAATGGTATAGCTTAAACGACGAAGTCTAAATAAAATCTGAAATTGATCATTGGATATTGCATGCTAATTTTTTAAAAAATTATGCAACGACCATACATTCTCACACTAAATATGACTTATTAAATTTGAACTGGTGCTTGCATGCTATATATTTTACACCATTTGGTATTTGCCAAATTTGGTGTAGTTTGTCAGTAAGAACAGTAAAGCAGATAGAGAAAAAGTTAATGTGCACCTCAACTGAACATATATATACACTAGTAGAATCCCACTATCCGTCTCGAACAGCCATTAATTTAATAAGGGAAACAGAAAAAAATTCGAGATTGCGGAGGTTCGAGATAACCAAATCTCAATCAGTTTTGACATGGTCAGGCCAAATCCAATGACCCACTGATACGAATTTTGTTTAGCTGGACTGTATACTGTATTACTAGTTAGAGTGGTTCAGATTTGACTTCCCCTACCGCTATATATATACCTCTCCCAGGCTTAATACGCATCTGACTGATTAATCGGGTAGGTTACTATGTATCTCGATTGGTTACTAATTAAATGGAAGTCAAATTCCGAACCTGTCTATTATATTTCAGGCATTGACAATTCATTCTCATTATTGCAGAGTTTTTGTCTAGTATATTATCAGTTGAAGGGTTTTTGTACCGAAACGTAACAAAAACGTTTTTAAATTTCAAAATTTAGTGAATTTTGATCGGTTAATACTTCCGTATAGTACGCCAAAAAGTTGACTTGCGACGGACCTTTCATTTTGATACGCGAATACACCCCGCACTACGTCGATTTATAAACCTCTTTTCAATCAGCGCATGCTCACCAGTACACATAACGTAACGTAACATAACATAACATAACATAACATAAATTTATTCAAAGAACCTAGTATTACAAAAGTGTCATTTAAGGCCTTTGGAGGAGAAACCGGAGGTTAACCCTATGGTCCCTATATTTGGATTCCCTTATCTAATTACAATATACTTTCTTAGCAATAAGTACTATCTATAGCAATCTAGACAGTAGTATAGACTAAAATAATTCAGTACATTTGCATATGCATATAGTTTTAGACTATTCTCAATTTCTCATAGTTCTTTTTGTTGTCTACCTGCACTACCGAACTTGGTAAGTTGTTCTATAAGGCATGGTTGGTTCTCGTAGCGTAACTATTGTTTATACTCAAGAACATCTGTAAATGTTAACCGTTAAGGCGAGCTTACTGTATATGTGATCATATTTCTTTTTTTATTGTTATTTAATTCGCCCATAATCCATATAATATTATATAGAGGGCGTCTAGACATCTATATGTAGAGGCTTTTATTTCGTGACAGTGATATACGTGCAAGCTAAGATGTTCGCCATTTAATGAAGTTTTCGTAGACCGTTATACGTTGACCATTTTCGTTGACCTTACATAAAACGAAATTAATTTTACACATGCCGCAGGAAGGGAGTAACCAGTGAAGTGGAGAATACGGGAAATGGTTATATCAGATAAGCATGGGCAGTGGCGTAACGTTATATCAGGGGGCCCCCGGTTCAAAATTTTCGAAGGCCTCCCCTAGTAGAAGTGGCACGAGTCGAGCGCCATATATGCAGAAGTTTTCTAGGGGGTCCAGAGCATGCTCAGCCGGAAAATGTTTGAATCTAGACTCTCTGAAATGCCATTTCCTGGACTTTGGGGAGAGATTTTACGGAATTCTGATGGTCATAAAACGACATTGTAACATATCAGAGACCCTGACCAATGTTTTTGCTCTATCGCCTAAGCCTGGGGGCCCCCATTTAGGTTGGGGGCCCCCGGGTTCTCCCGGTCTGAGCCCATAGTAGTTACGCCACTGAGCATGGGCTGAACCCGCGCATGCAGGATAGAAATATCGGAAGACTGAACTTATAACGCAGAAAACAGGAGGGTAAAAGCCATACAAGGTTCAGGAAAACGACAGGTGAATTTCGAGAAATGACTATATTGCTCTATAAGCTGGTTATTGACCCTCAATGAAGTTGTTCAAAATGAAATTAACAATAGCTATAATTAATAGCTGAATGGCTAAACGCAAACTATATCTATATGAGCACATCACTGAAAACGTAGTTTACACAGGCTAATTCGCTCTGCAAATAAAAAACAGAGGCAGTCAGTGCGAGATTCAGTGCTTGACACTGGCCATAAACAAAGAAATTATTAAATATTAGTATAGCCTAAATTGAATAATTCCTTATAAAATATTAAGTCTATTCATGTTTTTGTATTTTCATTCACAATTTTTTTCATTCACAAATTTCTTCATTACCAACAACCCGAAATTCACTAATACAATTAAAACACGAAACTCATCCAAATTTCACTCACATAAGCTTTATCAAAGGTGAGTTGGTGACTACTTGTCAAGTATTCATGCACTTTCAGTGAAAGAGTGGGCACATGGAATAACCTTGATATATTTAAACCTTTAAAAAGGTTTCTATATATAGACCCAGAATAATTAACCTTAATTATCTTGAAATCTGCTGTGTTGGTGTAATGTACTCAGGTGAATAAGATGCTTGTGTGATGTTACTCTGAGTGTATATCCACACCGGGCAGGCTTGAAAAATATGCCTGGCCACGGCGGGATTCGAACCTACGACCTTTGGAATACTAGCCCAATGCTCTTCCAACTGAGCTACGCGGTCAGGACGGTTCGAGTATGCGATATTTCGGAACTGAGTCTAGTTCCTTCTAGTTTCTAGACTCAGTTCCGAAATATCGCATACTCGAACCGTCCTGACCGCGTAGCTCAGCTGGAAGAGCATTGGGCTAGTATTCCAAAGGTCGTAGGTTCGAATCCCGCCGTGGCCAGGCATATTTTTCAAGCCTGCCCGGTGTGGATATATACATGCACTCAGAGTAACATCACACAAGCATCTTAATTATCTTATTGAAAAAAAATAATAACATGGGCGAATCAGTAAAAAAGCTGTTTCTAGGTGACCGATCTAATATTGACATGCATATATTCATCCATACTTTGAAGTTTAATTTTTTTATGTTTCCCCATATATAAAGTGTGATTTTTTGCAACTAAATGATTGCGCAATTTAATACTTATGCAATGACAATAAATTGTGTTGATTATGTATTTTCTCTATTGTCAGAATTGATTTATATCCAATTGCATGTCAAAAGCACATTCCGTTCCCTTAATTTTAATAATGCTGCATATATATGCAAGTTCCGCTCAATGTCAACTTTTGAACTGAAGTACAAACAATTTTGCTTTAATGTCTGTAACTGATCTCTGCAAAATCACTATCGGCGTATCGCCGCACGTAATTTGCAACTATATTGGCATTGACTTGATATTGCTGTTGAGCAAAGGTTAATTGGTTTGCAAAAGCGAAGGGAACCGATTTGAAAAATTTTATGATAACTTTGCCTATAAATTTGGCTCGCCACCAAATCCTTTCGAAAGCCATTGTTAAAAACACAAGTGGAATTTTGGCTCTCTGGCAGGAACAGACCAATATTGTTTTCTCTTTTCTCTGCAAATTTCTATCTCAAATTTTAACCCTTGAAAAATATAGTGTGCTTGTCCCTGAAGAAACAACCACAGGTAAAATGCCATATGCAAAATTATTGCATATATCCGCCCCCCAGATAATTTATTAGTACTTGCAGAATCACAGTCTTTGATGAGAATTGATGAGAGTTGGCGGCATGCAGTGACGCATTATTACGGGGGACATTTCAGTCTAGATTAACAAAATAAAGATTTGGTGATTGTTCCAACCATATCTTAAACTTAGTCTTCGAAAAGCATCAAAAACTGCTAACCAAGATCGCGTGACTGCCAATCACATATACTCTCGTCCTTTTTTGATCCGGATATTATATGGGTTGGATTATTCTTTCAAAATTTGGACGTAATTCCATAGATTTTAGAAGCATTCTTTTGTGTAGCAACATCAGAAAACACTCAAAAAATCTTCCACAGTCATCATTTTCGTATAAATATTGATCTTTCACTCATGAAGCTCAACGAAAGCAGGATTAATGTCAATTAGAAGGGCATCAAACGTGATCTAGTGACACGTGTGAACATCATTGACGCAGTCCAGTGCTAGGAGGCGATAATCAAGTGGCAGACTCTTTGCACAAATATTTCAGGAACTTTGCTTCCATGGTATAGTGTTTATGCAAGTCACGCATGTATGTATTGTCTGTATTATTGTTTAAGATATTGCTCGAAGCTATTTAGAATATAGAGGTGAATTGTCTGAGATCGTGTATTAAAAAACAAAAAAATTGCATCGTCTCAGAACATTAAAAAAATTCAAAATAAATTTTCAATTTGAAAATATATTTCTGAAATTAGTAATTATGTTAAAACTATCAGTAATTGTGTCAAGCTGTTATACAAAGCTCAGAATTTCAGCTCATAGATTAACTGGTCGATATAGCAATGCATGTTCCACGGGGGACCATACGATAAAAGAATTTGTCAACATTCCGATTTAATTAAACGAGATCGGTAACGAACAACACTATAAAATGTGCAACCTCGTTCCCAGGCCTGGGAATGAGGTTGTAAAATGTGGTGCAATAAATACATAACATGGTTTATTAGTTTAGTAAAATCTCAGAGGGGATTTTTACTGACAAATCCGGGGGACATTGGTAGTAGCCAAGTATTGCTTCAAGTCCTAACAAATTTTGATCAATTATAGCTACATCTATAGTATTCTAGGCTATTAAATGTTTAATCTATACTATAGTCTCTCTGTAAATTTAATATGTTTTGTATTTTATGTACCAGTATTGGTAGCTGTTTGAATAAAGTTTGTTTGTTTGTATAATCATACAAGTGTGGTATGTATAGTTTCTCTGCTCATAAAAATATAAAGATCAATTTACACCTCTGTTTCACACATAATCCTGCAAAGACGAGGTAACGTAAATGGTACAAAGCTTATAGGGAAGGCCATCCAAGGCCATTGCCCATGCAGAGTATATGTGTGGACAGAATGATGAACAATAGTAGTTCCGATATATTGGCCTGATGCAGCAAACCCTCAAGGAGCTTAATTAAAAATAATCTTATTATACTCAAAACATCTGCTAACCCAGCCCATAGTTTATTTTAACTGGAAACCTTTATTATAATTACAGAAAGAGCTGTGTAGCACTAGCTGAGTATAGCTCTCGGCAAGTCTTCTCAATGAAGATTTATTGGCTTACAAACAAAATAATTCACTGACACTGGAAGAAAATTGTGACATTCATAGTATGAAATTTGCAATTGCACCACTAAATCCATGGTATATCCATACTATTTCCATACTATATCCATGGTATGGAAGTTGCAATTAGTATCTGAAATCAAAATTGGATTTCCATACTATTTCCATAATAAGGATTTTGAAAAAAAATTCCAGTGAATTCTCCTGATCAACGTACGACTATATATGATTAATATGAATAATCAATTAAGAGGAAGGTGCAGGGAAAAAAAGATTCCGAATGAAAAGTATTATACTGCACAAACTTGTATTCATTTAATAGAGAGCTCAAGATTGACGTTTACCGCTAACCGCAAACGGCACCGCTAACCACAAACTGGTGGTAACGGCAAACTTCAAATCGCATTTGAAGGTAAGTTTTACTCAAGTTTTCGACAGCTAAGTAGCCGTAATTCATGCTTCAACTTTGATGCCGACAATATAGCTTAACTTCGAACAACAAACAGTTGATCTCAAAAGCGATTTGCCGTTTCCGGTTATCTAATAACTGCAAAAATCTCATTTATCGCTGCACAAATTTTTTGTCACTGCAGTATACCTTTAAATAATCGTCGTGCTGCAGCACAGGCTTTGCCCTGAAATGGACGTCATAGAACAATGGAAAAGCGCCTCTTCCCTTTCTAATGCCATGGAAATGTTCCTTATTAATTAAAGACATAGTGCCCCACCCAACGCCATTAATTCATGGAAGACGTACACTGTCGACTGACATGTAACCAATATTACTTTTTAATTTAATTCTACCATAGGCGTAATTGCATTTAGACCTGGCGTGATGTTTTTGTTCGATATGCTTCTGGTATTTTCCCTCAATCATGACACAATTTCACATCCGCCACGAAACTCATAATATTACCACGTGTGTCAACACAGAAACGTAATTGAGCTGATTTTTTACATGTGCGCAAATTTGCTTTCAGTGAAATATTTTTAAAGTAAACGGATTCATAGTGTTACGTTCGTTTTTAAAAACTATATTGTTACCATTCTGACCAAATAAACCTTTCTAATATTTTCGTGTTTTTCTAATATTTAATATATATAGGTTTGAGCGTGCTAGCGTATATGCTTCTGGCTGCTCTGCGTCTGTATATCATTCCTATATACTTTAATAATCAAATAGCAATGCATGTGCTCGAAAATAGGCTCTCTGGCATCTCTGCAGCTGGCCAAGAAACACTTTCAGCTGTTAATAATATCTGGAGGGCCAGAAAAATGTTGTGCTTTGTTTTATTCCTTTTGATTCAACTGATCCCATGCATTGGTTTCCATAATCTCTATAGCCATGCGCTTATTGTTCTAACTATTTTTAGCCAACTGCAAAGAGCATATTGGATTTCAAACCATGCATGCAACCATGCATTTTTATAGGCAACAAGAATTCACAAAATGCTGTTTAATGCCTAAAGGCAAGATAGTTTATTGTAATGAAGATGCAATGTATCGTAAGTCCTATTTTAGTTCCTTATAAATTTTCATATTTTTCATAATTGTCGGCAACTGTTAATTAGATGCCAAATCAGCATATTTTATTAATTACGTTCTATACTGGTATATAAATAATTTGGGACCTGTCCCAAAGGAAAGGCAATTCAGCTCTGATAAGAAAACCTCTAATTATTACCCCCCTCACGGTCTCACTCACATTGTCATTGTCAGTATAATGAATTACTTATTTCAATATAAATTGGAAATATACCAAATTTTACTTTTCCATTGCACGAAATATTTAATTTCAACCTGAATATATAGTCAGTCTTCAAAGATATGTTCTATCTTTTTCTCAATGTTTTTGGAAACTTGTGCACAGTCAAGACAATCATGTTTATTTTCGCATAATGAATTCCAATGGCAATGGCATCATCTCACTCGTGGTTCAACGTTTTTCAAGATCCCGGATGATATATTGATATCTCCATTCACTATCAATATAATGCAGGTCTTGTGACCATGATTCACAGTGGCGCCGTGGGACCCTTGTTTTGGGGGGGGCCAAGGGCTGTACTTTTCCGACAAACCTGAAAATAATTTCCGACAGAAATATTTCTGGCGCCCCCCCCCCCGTCGCCAAAAAAAATTCGGTCAGTGTACCATTTTAGGGGTCAAAAATTTTTTCCGGACATACCTAAATTTTTCGTTACATCCTAAAATTTTTCCGGAAATCACCCATTTTCTCAATTTATCAAAAAATTTCCGAATTTACCAACGTCGGAAATTTTGCCAATTTCCGACAACGTTGTCAATTTTCCAAAAATTTCCGACAACATTCACAATTTTCCGACGGGTCTTCACAGTAGGGGGTGCCATGGCCCCCCCTGCCCCCCCTCCCCGGCCACGGCGCCACTGATGATTTATGAACTAATGTATGTGGAATTTTTTTCATATATATATCGTTATTTTTCAATAAATATCGAATATTTTTCATATATACTCAGCATCAGTATTTTTTACTTGCACATATTTTTACATGGAAAAATTCT